TGGTTCTTTGTTCCCAACAACGGGTAAGCTTTGATGCTTCTCCGATTTTGGCTTTGTTCAATCCTTTGGTTAGTCGCGATTGTTATTCTTTCTTACTTACAATTCACTGGTATTTATCTGCATGTTAAGAATTGAAGTTTATTAGTTTTTCTTCTTTCCAATGAGTGTCAACTCAAGTTTTATAGCACCTGTGATTTAGTTGTTCCAGAGGTCTTGCGTTTTGGAGGCAGCTAGGTAGTTGCTTAATATGAGACCCATTATCATTGTTTTTTTTTTATTGATTTGGTAATGTATTTATCTTCATACATTGTAGTTCGTTGCTTACTTTTTATGCATATCACGTATTTGTTTGATTGACAATTGTTAATTCGTGTCTGATATATTATCCTATACTATGCATGGCTGAAATTAGTGCATGTTTAATAGCAGGTATTTGTTTGGAGTCCTGTAAACTTTTTTCCTTGCTCTGCATTTTCTAATATCATGTAAGTTTCTTTCCATCTGTCTGCGTTCTCTTTACCTGTATAAAATTCTTTTCTTTTTGGTTTTGCATGAAAGTTAATCTTGTTTGCTTCTTATTCATTCAAGTACATTGTGCTATATTTTACTTCCATAAAATCTGTTGATTTTTCTCCCCTGTGTTTATTGGCATGAAAATTAATTTTCTTTTGTCCTCGTTACTTGAACTATAGTATATAAGTATCACTGAAAATGGGTCGAAAGAGAAAATATGCTACACTGGAGGAACTTTACAGTGAAAAAAATCGTCGTTGTCGTGAATGATATGCTGCAGCTAAGAAACAAAAGGAGAATGGTCCATTTAATACAACTTGCACTATTGCTGTGAAAGCATTGCGAATGATGGATAATTTAGCCGAGACGAGTACTTCCTCTATGAAGCATATGCGTATCAATAAACATAATGATGACACTTCTTTTACGAATATGAGCACAAATGAAACAATTGAGAATCCATTGTCCTCTTCACCTCTTATGAATAAATATGGTTCCCTTGGTTCTACTATTCAAAGCGATGAAGCATTGACTTCTATTAATATCCATGGAAAAAGCATTGCTAATGTTAACAACATTCCAATAGGTAATTCTCCTATTCCAATTCAAAATTTAGCTTTGTTTTATCATTGTAAAATTATCTTTTGATTATATAATATATACTTATATAATTACTAATGTAAAATTATGTACAGTGCCAAAGGACAATGCAAGTGATTGTAATACATTATCAACTAAAAAGGCTGCTCCATGGCCTAGGACTTAAAGTTCAATCAATAGTTCTTCATCTAAGGATAATGATGTGAAAGTCTCATTCGATGGTCAATGACGAAGAAAGTACGCGACACCTGAGGAAGTTCAAAGGGAACGAAATCTTTATCGTCGTGAACATTATGCTATAGCGAAGAAAACAAAGCAAAAATCCTCAGTTGATAATATTTTTACTTTTCCTTTGATCACACCTGAACTACAAGAAGACATTAGAACTAATGCAAATTTTGAAAACAACAATCACATGCCTTTCAATGATGAATCGGTATCTCATGTCCGCAGTTGTTTCCAAGGTACACTTACTTTTTTCTCTCCTGAACTAGCAATTATCTGTTTGGTTATTTACATGTCATTTTATAATATCCAGTGCATCTTCTTGTATAATTTCTTGCATATCTAATTTCAAGTAAAAGGAAATTTATTTACTCAAATCTTTGTGTGAAGTATTGTTTATATTTTCTTTGCCATTACAATCACTTGTAACTTTGTAGTTTCATTTGTTAATAATTGAAAATAATATACAGGACCTGAGCTTTCTGAAGGCAATACAAATGATTCCAGGATCGAAAATACTATTTCAATGATCAGAACTTATGATTCCACCAAAAATTCTACAACCAATGAACATGATCAATTAAAGTTTCCTGCACCAGAGAGTTTTCTTGGTCCAAATTTTCGAGATGCCTCGTCTTCAACAAGAAACACACCATGTACTAATCTTTATATGATCGTTCGTTTTGTTCTCTCTTTAAAGTGCATTTGTTTAGATAATTGAATTACAATTTTTTTTTGTCTTTTGTTGATTAAAACTATCACTAAGTATTTATCTTAAACTTTATATTCATTATCCTAGATTATTACATCAAATTTATGTTTATTGACACTATTATTATAGGTAGACGTCGTTCTGCAAAGCCTGATCCATTGCAAAATATAGCTGTTGAACCTAATGTTTTACCTTCAGTTCCAAATTGTGAATATTGTGATGCTAAGAGATTTCACAAAGAATCACCTGGATTTTGTTGTTCTTCTGGAGAGATTCAATTGCTTTCAACTGAAATGCCTAGAGAATTAATGCTTTTATATCTTGAGGATTCGGATGAGGCTCCTGAATTTCGACGGTGCATTCGTCATTATAATAATATGTTTGCTTTTACTTCACTTGGCATGCACTGTGATCAATCATTAAGTAAAAATTATCATGGAATTTGTACATTTAGAGTTCAAGGGCAAATGTACCATTATATCAATCCATTGGTATCGCCAGAAGGCTAGAAAGCAAAAAACTTACAATTATACTTTTTTGACACTGATCATGAGAAAGTCAATCGATTATCTATCTCAAGTAGATTTCGAGAAAGCTTGATTACGAAGATTGAAGAGATCTTGAAATTGAATTCATACTATGCATTTTTCCGTGGTTTACAAAATCTTCCCAATATAGATGATTATAAGATTGTTCTTAACTCAAATCCAGATTTGGATTATCGAGTTTTCAATCGACCTACAACATCTCAAGTCGGAGCTGTATGGACAAAATCTGAAATTTCTGATCAGATTACCTCGCATCATATCCAAGTATATGGAAAAAATGGTGAAACACAAATTATCAAGCATTATTATGCTTGTTATGATTCATTCCAATATCCATTAATCTTTGCCAATGGTGAACCTGGATGGCATCTTTCTATTGAACGAGTGCATATTGATCGAATGAATCCTCATCAACCAACAACTTGTGCTGGAGAAAATTTATTGGACCCTCATCAATATACAAGTCCTGATCAGTTATTTGAAGCATAAAAAAAGGTAACTCAGTGTTATTTATTATATATATATATTTTAAATGTATAATGAATTATTTTATCTAGACATAAATTTATATTCTTTATCCTGAACATCTCACTTGAAAAATGCAGGTACTAATTCGAATAACCACAAAAGAACCACTGTTTCTTGTAGAGAGTATTATTGTTATAAACTTCAAATACGATCAAGTGATAAGTCAATGTTACTTCATATCGGCCGATTATTACAACAATTTGTGGTCGACATGTACATAAAGATTGAATCATCCAGACTTGCTTTTCATAGAAATGAGGAGTATCAACACAAATTTCAGACAGAATTATATCAAGGGTTACTCGATAGTATTTCTCGAGGTGAGGCATCTTCATCAAATGTTGGAAAAAGAATCATCCTTCCAGCTTCATTTATTGGCAGTCCTCGAGACATGCGCCGCCGATATATGGATGCAATGACATTGGTTCAAAGGTATCCAAAACTAGATATTTTTCTCACTATGACATGTAATCAAAATTGGCCTGAAATTAGAAAAGAGTTGGGGTCGACTGATACGATTGATAATAGACCTGATTTAGTTTCAAGAATTTGTCGAGCCAAACTTGAGTTATTGAAACACGAAGTCATCAAGAAACAAATCTTTGGTAAAGTTGCTGCATACACTTATGTTATCAAGTTTCAAAAAAGGGATTACCACATGCACACTTTCTCATCATTTTGAAACAAGGATCAAAAGTATATTCTCCCGATGCTTATGATCGGATCGTATCTGCTGAGTTACCTGATCCTCAACAACAAAAGCATTTACAGTTTAATTGTCAAGCATATGCTTCATGATCTATGTGGTATAATAAATCCTCAATGTCCTTGTATGCGAGAACACATTGGCTGTAAAGATCGATATCCAAAGGATTTCACTGAATTGACAATTCATGGACAAAATTCTTATCCTATCTATCGTCGAAGCAATAACGGTAGAAAAGTGTTCATCAGAGGTCATCAACTGGACAACCGATGGGTGGTACCTTATAATCCATATTTTTTGGCCAAATTTAATTGTCATATGAATGTGGAAATTTGCTCAACGATTCAGGCAATCAAATATATATACAAATACAAATACAAAGGACACAATAAGATTATGTATCAGTTGAGCTCAACAGAAAGAAGCCAAATTATTGATGAAATTAGCAATTATCAAGCAGCATGATGGGTTTCACCACCTCAAGCTATGTGGAGAATTTTGGCCTTCGATTTGAATGAGTTATATCCTTCGGTATTGAAACTTCAGGTACATTTAGAAAAACGTTCAACCTATATCATTTCCTGAAAACCAATCCCTGCGCAATGTAGTAAACAATCCAGCTATAGACCAAACAATGCTTACTCACTTCTTTGTGATGAACAGAACAGATACTCTTGCTAAAAAACTTGGTTGCCTTTATATTGAATTTCCCCAATATTTTGTATGGTCTCAAAAGTATAGAATATGGCAGCCACGAAAAAAATGTGAAATTGTCAGAAGGATTTTAACTGTTCATCCCAGTGAAGGTGATCGGTACTACCTCAGAATGTTATTGATGCATATTCGGAAGCCAACTTCCTTAAAAAATCTTCGAACTATAAATGGACGAGTATATGCTACTTTCAAGGAAGCCGCTGAAAAATTAGGCCTTCTCAGTGTTAATAATAATGCTGACACATGTATGGATGAGGCTATTCTCTATCAAATGCCAGCATCTTTGCGACAATTATTTGCGATTATTTTGGTCCACTGTCATCCTCAGAATCCAAGAGAGTTATGGTTGAAGTACAAAGATTACTTATCAGAAGATATTAAGCTTAACAAATCACTTTCCCAAGAAGCAGCTCAGTTCAAGGTTTCACAATAGATTGACAAATACTTGCGATTAATGGGCAAGAGCCTTGGTGACTTTCACTTAACTGACATATTCCTTCAAACTTTTACTCATGAATGGGAAACAATGGAGATTGAAGCTGAGAGAAATATTATTGTCTCCAAGGAAGATCTTTCTACTATTGACCAGCTCAATCAAGAACAAAAAATTGCATATCATAAGATATTAAGCTCTGTCTATGATACTACCTCGACAGCTTTCTTTGTTGATGGTCCTGGTGGAACTGGCAAGACTTTTTTATATAGAGCTTTGCTAGCTAAGATACGCTCTCAAAAACACATTGCTTTGGCAACGGTAACTTCAGGAGTAACTACGTCTATATTGCCTGGAGGAAAGACTGCTCATTCACACTTCAAAATTCCTCTTAATGATGATGAAGGAAAAACCTGCAACATTAGTAAGCAAAGTAGCATTGCACAGCTTATCAAGGATGCTAAATTGATCATTTGGGACGAAGCAACGATGGCTGAAAGAAAGGCAATAGAAAGGTTTGATCAATTGCTACAAGATATAATGAGTAACAAAGAAGTATTTGGTGGCAAAACAGTCATTTTTGGAGGCGACTTCCGTCAAACACTATCTGTTATCGTCAAAGGGAAAAAAAATGATATGATTGATGTTAGCTTAGTAAAATCTCATATTTGGAATCATTTAGAAAAAATCCATCTGACAGAGAATATGCGTGCACGCCTTGATCCTGATTTTAGCTCATATCTGTTGAGAGTGGGAAATGGTACCGAAATTACAACAAATCAAGATGAGATTAAGATTCCACCTGGAATAAATGTTCCTTTTATTGATGATGCTTCATCTATCACTACTTTAACAGATATGGTATTTGAAGATCTTTACAATATGGCTGCAGATAATACTCTTCCAATCAATAAGGCTATTCTAATGACCCGAAATGATTTTGTTCATGAAATCAATGATATCTTAATTGACAAATTTCCAGGGGATGAAAAGTGTTATCTTAGTTTCGACCAACCTTTGGAATCATCAGGGCAGATTCAAAATGAAGATTTCCTACATACATTAATGCCGAAAGGTCTCCCGCCTCATCAGTTGAAACTGAAAAAGAATTGTCTCGTCATGCTTCTCAGAAATATAAATCCTACAGAGGGCCTTTCAAATGGAACTCGCTTAATTTGCAGGGAGTTTGGTAACAATGTTCAAGCAGAGATAACATTTGGTTCTTTTGCTAAAAAAATTGTTTTTATCCCTCTAATCCCTTTAGAATCTCCTACAGATGATTTTTCTTCAATTCCATTTAAAAGAACACAGTTTCCTTTAAGATTGTATTTTGCTATGACTATAAACAAAGCACAAGGACAAACATTAGATTATGTTGGTCTCTATTTAAAAGAACATGTTTTTTCACATGGACAGCTTTATGTGGCTTTATCTAGAGCAAAAACAGCAACAAATGTCAAAGTCTTGATTTGACCACTTCATTCTTTTTGCAAAACAACTGATAAAACAAGAAATATTGTATACAAAGAAATTTTGTCATTAGTTTCAAATAGCTAACTCTACATGAGCTAGAAATTTGATGCATGTGATTTATGTAACTGCTGACATTTATTTTGCAATTATTTTTCTCTCTATTCTCTACTTTTACATTCATAATTTCAATAACCATAAGGTAGTGTTTCATGTTTCGACTTTTCCTTCCCTATTTTGCTATGCTTCCATAGTTTTGTATGACTTATGCTATAAAATTTCATTCCCTTATTTTTTGTTCAACCACTTTTATGTTACTTTTTATTTTCCTCATGAAATAGTATTTATTGATTTGTCCATTGCAGTTCTATGGAAGAAGGTGTATTCCAATATCTGAACTCAAACCAAAAATGAGAAATTGGATTACAAAGCTTATAGCCATTGAAAAAAACTTAGTTCGCTACTCAAAAAAAACTGGTGCTCCATACCAAAGACTGGTCTTTGCAGATGTCATGGTAAGAATAGTTTCATTATAATCTTTACTCAAAAACAAATATCTTAGCAATGCATATATTTTCACTAATAAATTGTCTCCCTTAAATATGATAGGAAAATACTATTCAAGGAAGCATTTATAGACAAGATATCGATGCATTGGATCCAACTCTCACACTCTATTCAACATGCTATATTGGAGGAGCCGAGATCGATCCAGTGTCCAATGATGCTTTTTGCCTTGCTGTATCGCCTAATCAATTAACACTCAGCAAAAGGACATTTATCCAACTTGTTCCTCAACAAAACATCATCGCTACCCATAACTACTATAATTTCACACCTTTTATCGATATCCATAGACGCCTAAATGATGCCAATGCTACAATAAGTAATTTTATATATTCATTTTTCTGTACTTATCAAACCTTATTTTACTTATTTGTTACTGATTTGATCACTTCTGTGTCCTAGCTCTCTTATGTGCTGTTGTCCATGCATTACCACCACGACAGATTCAAAAAAGTGAAGGAAATGTCACCATTCAGGAATTTGTCATCGTGAATGAAGAGTAAGTCACTAAAACATAATCCTTACTTATATTTATGACATTATGCTTATTTTTCATGATTTCATGTTCAAACATTAAACAGGCAACGGCCAATCATTTTCACTATTTGGGATGAACTCTTACATCCGGAGGCCACACACTTGATGAGCATGATACATGAACAACCAATAATTCTCATTTCTAGAGCAAGAGCCAGTGCTAACAATAGTATTTATTCTATACTCTTAATTTACACTTAACTCTATTTTACCTTATAGACACTTTTTGCTAATTAACTTACAAAGTAATTTCTCTTGTAGCACTCTCTGTTGGAATGCAAACAATTTGTATTATCTTGCATAATCCTACCATCCCAGAAGCAAACCTACTGAGACAATGGTAATAAAATTTCCCTTACAATTCTTTTATACAGGCTTTAGACCCATTAAACGTACACTTATCTAACCCACTTATGATCTGAATTTGAGTAATTCTACCCATGCTTTACAGGACCAAAGCAAATAGAAATTACATAGAAAAAGTTATACATGAAAGACTTTTTGACAAAAATCATCAACCAGTTCAGTCTCCAGAAGAATCGCAGCTCCGTCGACTTGAATACATCGATGCTTCTGTCCAGATGGTATTATTAATATTTCACTCAAATATTTTTCTATTAAATCATATATTTTACTAATTTAAGTCATTATAAACAGCCCAATATGCAAACAAAACCTTTTTGGGTCAAGACAGAGATCAGAATACCTACCACTAATCAAAGCTTATATGTTATGACTTGTCCTACACCAAATTGTAATAAAGAAACAGAAGCTCCAGCAAATACTGAGTTTCAATGTCACAAATGCAAAGCCACAATTATAAAACCAGTGCCCAGGTAATTATAGTTTAGATTTACTCACAACTAGTTATATTTTATGATTTTTAATACATATTTTACATATTGATATAGGCTCAAATTCGAGATTCATCTTTTTGATGGAAGTACTATCATAACTGCCTTAATTAGTGATAAACATGCAAGTACTGTTCTAAACATGCCAGCTGATGAAGTCATCTTACTAAAACAATAGGTATATATATACCCTTTATTCTACTCCATGTGGATTTTTTTTATCTTGCATTGATGAATTTTAAAAAAATTAATGGAAAAATTATTGTCAACTAACATGTCAAATTTTACTTACATTTTTTAGTTTAACTTGTGAGTATTGAATTTCTTTGGTTTCTCATTGTTGCAAAAATTATTCAATGCTTTCATAAGACATAAGTAGATAGTTTACTGTTCAAAATTTGTTTCATTTTCATGATGCAAAATCTTACCATCATTACAAAATTAGATCTAGTTAATATCGATGGGCACGAATTGTATGAATCGAATACAGAGAAGTTTAGGATGTATGCAAATGAATCGTATGAATCTTAAACCTTGTTACATATACACACAAATTGTGAAGTTTAGGATGTATGCAAATGACAGGGTTATCAAGTTGACCATACAACTCGTTGCACGAGTCTTGATTACTGGAAAATATGCAAAGTAAGATAATTTTGGAATAGTGAAACTATCTATTGTGTAGTAAGGGAAAAATGTGCTGCTCACCTAGATTTGCTTAGAATGTTGTATGATGTTTTGTTATCCTTTCTTTGGATGAAAAGCAACTATTTAGTAACTTGATTCCACAATTTAGATTTCTTTTGTTGGTTGCCCCTAGCAGAATTATGATGTTTTCTACATGTAAGGAGTCTGAATAATTTTCTTGAACAACTGTAAAGACATAGTACTCAAAACCAAGTGAACCGCCGTGCTTATGTCCAATTCAAAGCTACAAGCAAGTCTACCACTTTTCATTGCTGAAATAAGTGACCATGATAAAGTACAGGAAAAGCACAAAAAGCGCAAAGCGAAGAACAAGCCTGGCGCTATTTTAGCTTTGCTTTTCTTAAAAGCCGTTAGATCTCTTTTTGTCTTATATTGACCCTTGGTCAGTGAGCAGTGGGATTAGTTCATTGGGCTCAGTGGATAAGTTATTATAATTAGACAAAAGCCTCGAATGACTTGATAAATGAAGTGTAGTAGATTAATAGTTGTACTCATTAATGCTGCTTTAGACTATTGATTCTTGAGGCATATATAATTTTTTTTGCTGCACTTGTATTATGGTGCATATGTTATCTGTTATGCTATTTCAGTTTATACATATAGTCTTTGATGAACTTATTTTCTCTGTTTATGCTAGAATCTGTTATTCAGCATGTATTGTTAATTAAATAGAGTCAAGACATATTATTACCTACAACAAGTCTAATCTTCTTTCATGCATATATGTATATTCATGTTGTTTAAGCGACAGTAAAATTGCAATAATTTTAAATTTATACTAACTAACTGACATCTATTGCTATCCCTAACATTTTTTTGTTTGACATTTTAATTTACTGAATATCAAACTTGAAGGCTTCAAATTAAAAGCAATCTTAAATGTTTGTTTTTTTTTTCTTATAATAGCATTTGCAGGAACATATAAATCAGATAAACACTACATTGGAGAATACTAAATTTTATGTCCATCTAAAAAGCTTCTCCTATCAATCAAGATCAGCTTGGATCACAAAATACTATGTACTTGCCTGCATTCAAGCTCCCAAAGATACATTACAACTCCCTTCACCTGTAGCAGAAACAAGTACTTCCACCACTGCAAGAACAGAAACATCAAGTTCAGCTCAAAACATTAAAGAATCCTTCCTTCCTTCCTGGAATTGACTCCTGATCAATATCCTTCCTCTACTACAAAAAAGAATATCAATCCAGATGCAGTGACAAAGGAAAGTGAACCAAACAAGCGTTCAAAAGTTTAAGTTATCATCATTAGCAATCTCATTCAGAACTCAGGTAAATATTTACTTTTTACAGTCTATTACCATACTAATTTTTGTCTATTAAAATCCAAAGGCATTTTCCATTTCCATAAAAATATAGCAACATAAAATTATAATAAAATTGTTAATCACTTTACAGTATGATTAACTCGCTGACTATTCATTGTGCCTTTTGAATCAGTGCAACTCTTTTGCTGTCCTTCTAATATATATATATATATATATCCCTAGCCCTTTCTAGTTCGAAGTTCTTGCAGCCACGCCATCTCCAATGTAAATATTCAGCTCTGCAGCAGTTTTTCCTACCTCTCAAGTATGCGTATAGATGACTGTCGATTTCTTCAAAGCAAATGATATGCAACATCTTGCTTACCTTTTGAAGTTAATTGTTTGTAGTCATAGTATCTATCATCTTAATATCTATTTTTCCAAATATTCCGCTCCATGTAAATATTCATCTTTCGAAATGCTTTTAGTCCAAGTATATATATGTTCCAAGGACTATTTTGACTAATGCTTCAATATAAACTTATTGTAAATATTTATCTTCAAATGTTAGATGCTCATAAAATATCTATTTCTCCAATCAAAACATCCTAACTTTTTTTCAAACATCTCTGGTTGTTTTGCATTGCAAGGATAGTGAGTTGTTTTTGCCTTTATTCAAATCAGTAATTGCATTTGGATAAAAGTAAAACAAAGTAACTAACGAATATATATCTAACTCTTTAACTCATACAAACCATAAATCAACACTTTATTTCAATACCAAACTATCTAGAACCTCACTTAGCAAACTAACACATTAAAACACGTACCATTCATAAATACACACTACAACTCCCTACCAGCTCTTCAGTTGCAAATCGAAACACTCATACTTCACATACAAACACTTAGAACAAAACTCGCAAACTTTATTAACTCAAACTAATAAGAAAAATATTTAATATATTTTCACTCAACAAACATATTTACATCAACTGAACCTCCAATAAATTATTAATTACCACCATCTTCCCCCAATATGTCGAACCATCGTCTCAATTCATGAGCC